AAAAAATACAAGGGATGTTAAAATTCTGCATAATGTTGATTAAATACTTGAATGGTAGCAGGTTTAAACAGGTTGAATTCAGTAATTTGGTAAATTGTAGCAGCTAATTTATAAAACAATCTGCCAAATTTGCTGAACCAGCTTCTAAAACATTAATACAGATTTTTATTGGCTTCCAAATCAATCGAATTTGTCAGCATGTAACAAAAAATTCTTCATTATTTAGTAAGTTAAAAACCTCCGTATTTGTAATAATACATGAATGCTCAATAAGAATCTATATAGTACATATTATTAATATTTGTTAATATATATAACACAAACATATAATAAGCAAAATTACCTAGTCGAAAACAGGTTGTGCAAGCAATATTGAATTTATAATATCATAAAGTGATCCCCAATAAGTTGGACATCATGATGTTAAGCCTTCAGAGCATATCTTCGTATTTGATAATCCTTGTCATAACAATGCCAATTTTTGAGGTGATTTTGTAAAATGCTTTATAATATTACCATATTGGTCAATAAAAATTTTTATTTTATGTACTTTTGATAAATTTGTTGATATCAGATTAATCGCATGAGTGATATATCTGATATTTAATATGTATGGATATTTAATATAAATTTTTTCTCTAGCAGATTTGTGATTCGCTGCTGAATCAGTAACTATAGTAGTGAATTTTTGAGGCCCAATTCATTCAATTATATTCATAATTTCTGATGCAATAAAGTTGCCTATATGAGATTCTAATGAATAATTGCGTAAAAAAATAAGATATTCTTTTCAATCCATAGTTGTTATAATGTAATTATATAACGAATCACCATGTTTTGAGATCCATCCGTCAAGAGCTAATTTAAAAAAAAATAAATAAATAAAATAATTTTTTTTTAAAAAAAAATTTTAGATATATAGTATAATTATTTACTTAATGTTAAATATTCAGCATTTTCTAAATTATCATCAATGTTATTCTGCATATATGCAACTTTCTAATCAAGTAACCGCCCAGATAATGTTGTATGAGATGGTAAAACATATGCTGGATTGATACTTTTAAAGAGATTCTTAATATTTGCGAAATATACTGTGTAAAAAGTCGTAGGACATTTGAAATTAATACAAATATTTCACTGAATCAAAATAAAAGTTAAATTCGTGCACCGAGGAACGTAGCAGTAGTTTGATTTTATTTATTTTTGAAAAAATTATTGTATATTAACTTTTCTAAAGAGAAATTTAATGATTTATTTTGGTAGCAGAGTCATATAACACTAATAAAACTTTCTGTATACTTTTTTTTTGTTCGACTGAGAAAGTATTATGAATTTATAAATATTTATTTATTGAACTGGGTGAAACTCGCATTAAATTCTAGTAACCCACTTTGAATACCATGCTAAGGCAAAATCCGAGTTAGCATATTGTTTCACGAGTTTTACTCTAATAGCACTTTCGGCTTATTGAGGTCGTTATATGTATTCGATTAAAATAGAAAATCTAATTGCTACATTTAATAACTTTCACTTACATATACCGAATGATAAAAAAAAATTATTTTTAAGATCAGGAAATATACTAGTAAATTACCCAAAGCTTTCACATGACCTGCCATTTTTTGGGTGGAGGTTTGTAAAATCAATTAGAACGATAAGCAGAAAAAAATGTTATTAATAAAATTCATTAAAGCCACATTTTAAAAGCTCATCTTCACGAAGCATTTGTTTCTAAGCAAGAAAAAATTCAAGTTCACATGGCTTGGAGACAACGGAACCACACTTTTCATGAGATAGAGTTTCTATAAGGCTTCGACGCTTCTCCAAGGTTTAGCGTTTTGCCAGAGTTTCGATGTTATATTACATTACAGGTGACCATTTCCATTTGGCACTTAGGCGCGGCGAATCATTATGTGACGAATAAGCATTAACTAATATAAGTATTTAGTCAATGCTTATTCGTCACACCGCTGTGCCAAATGGATGTGATCACCTATAATAAACTTAATTTTAAAATTTCTCTTTCTCGGGTTGGCATCACTTACAGAAATAAGTAATTCCTGTTAGGTGATTTCAAGGCAACATCGTAAATATTTGATTTAAGATTTTATTGATTTAATCAAATGATAATGAAGTGACAGTAAGATTTCGATAAGTTTCGTTTCGATGTGTTTCTGCGAACGTTTTAATTTCGACAACTATTTATTTGTAGCAGAATGAAATTTGAGTTACTATTTAATCCCTAAAACCATATTGCTTGTTTTTTATTATAAATCTATCCTAAAGCTGACCACTAATCCTAATCCTAATCCTAAAAAAAATATATTACAAAAAATTTGCATTTTTGGTGTCTATTTTACACTATACAAAATTTTATTTTGATTTATTAAAAGATTAACTTAACATGTTAAGCTTTGATGATTGTTGAGAGTTTCTACTGTATGAGGCACATTATATACTACCGGATCTTTTGCATTGATTATTTAGTATACTTTAGGTCTGACATCTGTTAAAGAGATGACATTACAAGAAGTAACTCTTGCACAATTAAATATTATTATAATTTACTTGACTCGTATGAATAACTATATTTCGTGATGCATAATGATTTTGCTTGGCATAGGTTGATGACATTAATAAAGTTTAAAATTCAAGTCATTTATTTAACTTTTTGCAAATAATAAAAAAAAAAAGAGCTTTATTTTTTTAATATTGTATGTTTTTGAATTGTTATTTAAAAGCATATAAATAATTTTTAGCATTGTTGCGCAATATGAATTTTATGAAAAATATATAAAAGAGTAATTAATTGCAGGTTGTAGAAAAGAATAAAATAATGAGAACTTCAAAAGACAAAATAGCAATGTCATTAGTTATAAAACCATATGAAACTATTGAAAATATTGATGGCACACCCATAGATGCTAAAGAAGTTTTCAACACTGCAATACTTCTATTAGGAAATACAGGCAAATATAAAAGAACTAAGTTACGTATTATATATATTGGCACGTTAAAAATAAATATATATACTTTACATACACATGTAGGTGCTGGTAAAAGTACTTTAGGAAACTGGCTCTTTGGATTTCAAGGAGATGATCCAAATGCAACATTTAAAACGGAGTTTTCTATGGTAATAATAATATATATATATATATATTTTATAACTGTTATAAACTTGTATTCTACAAACCAGGAACCCGTCACTAGAGAATGCCAGGCGGGTTTAATTCGGATTAATGAAACAACTTATAACCTCATCGATACTCCAACAGTATTTAACAACCTGGGTTTGAGAGATATTAGGAATTATGATGTATTAAAAAAGATTGCTGAAACTATTCTTGTTTGCTCATACGGAATTCAAGCAGTGATTTTCGTTGTTGGTATGACTTTTTATAATAATTGTATATGTAACAGTATCTGATATTGTATTTGTTTTGTTAAAAAATATATATATATATAACAAATTATAGATATAAAACAATGTGTGAATTTTCCAAAGACGTTCAAAGTGATTAAAGCATACCTTGGTGACAAAATTCTCGAAAACGCCATTGTGGCATTTACTAATCTTAGTAAAAAGCAAACAGAGAATCTGCAATTTCCTGAAACTCTCAATCAAGAAATGCGAGATCTTTTGGCATTTTTTGATAATAGGTGGTTTATCTCGCCTAATCCGGAATTGTACAAAAAAGATAGCAAAGTTGTACTTGACAATATGAAAAAGGCTAAGGAGTTGATAGATGGGTTTAAGAGTGCATATACGACAGCTATGTTCAACGAAATTAGGGAGGCAGATAATAGAGAGGCAGCAGCTCGTAAGGCGGCAAATAACGGTTGTTTCAAACTTGACACCAAAGTCATGCTTATAAATAAAAAAGTTGTTCCAATGTCTTCGGTTCGCATTGGAGATCGAGTGTGCTGCGGAACAATTGATGGGAAGTTAAAGTTCTCGGAAGTTTATTCTATCGCTCATCGTAGCTTTGAAATTACCAATGAATTTTTAAAGGTTGAATTTATGACAATTGATGGAACTAGAAGTAAATATAATTTAATTGCTATCGTTATTTTGTTATCCAATATATCTTTAATATCATTTCATATTACTACAGAAGGATCGCTTTATTTAACACCAGAGCATCATATATTCGTTAATAACAATTTTGATTACGCAAAAAATTTAAAGAAATTTCACACGATACAAGTTCTCGTTAACACAAGACTAATTCAAGCTTATGTTATGAATTGTTCTAGAGTAAGTATTTAAAGATTTAAAGATATCATGTCGTATTATATTAATTTAATTAATCATTGTATTTAAATTGTTAAACAGGAATATCATAAAGGGTACGTTGCAGTTTTTACAAGGTCTGGTACTATCATTGCAGACAATGTACTTTGTTCTTGCTATGCGGTTTGTCCACCATATCAAGGCATCATTCATCTTTCACTATTTCCACTTCGGCTTTTTCCAAAATTTGAATACACTATTATAGGTAGTAATAGTGAAGAAATTCACCCATACCTCTATTTCTTAATGCGTTTATATCATATTTTTAAAAGATTATTTGAATTCATTGATATTTCTTCTTGGTAATGTAAACAACGTTTGTTACTAAAAAGATTCTAGCACATATATACGTATGTATTATACGTCCATAACTATAATCTTATAATTATTGTCGCTAACTACTAGGGGAAAAAACATCAAAATTAGTGAATATATTTTATTCGCATCTATAATTTTATATTAGTAACGATAATTCACATTGTAAGATTTCTTTGCCTAGCAAAACATATTGTTCACAAACTTATATGCATGAGTCAATAAAAGTAATAAATCTAACATTAAGTTAGTTTAAATAAATTAATAAATTTAATTAAATTGTACATTTAATTATACACTATAAATTGAATTTAAAGAGCGTATTTTATTCTAACCTAAGGACTATACTTCAAGGAAAGATAATGTAAAATGATCATTCAATTAACACCATTAATCCAATTAACCCAATTACTCAATTAACCCAATTAAAACTAAATTAAAAGACATCCTATTAACCTACTTTTAAATCTCGAATTAAAGAAAAAAAAAAAAAAATTAATGAATGCCAATGTTAATTTTCTGCAGTTAAGAGAAATAAAGGAAAAAAATTAGAAAACAAAATGATAATAACTAATTAAATTCCATGAACTTGATTAATTCTAATGCAATAAACACATAAAACAAAAAGAAAGAACAATATAGTTGAAGCAATACCAAATCCACCATATACCCATCTATAAGGAGAATCATCAATAACATCATAATAAAGTATATAAGCTAAACCGAGAGTAGAAGCGGTTAAGAATAAGAAAAAACCTATAATAACTTCAGTAAAAGATCTCTTATGCATTCCACAAATATAACCACGTTCTAAATCAAGTTTATTTAAACCAATTATCTCAGGTTCACCAGTAGTTAATTGATATTTTGGAGGAGTTAAAGAAATAATTAATTTATTAAGTAAAGATAAATTTTTCAAGATATGTTCATTTTCTTTTCCATTACTCGTCATAGGAAATATAGTATCATCAGGATTTGGAATAATTACCCAACGACCAGAAATTATGCCACGTTTACCAACAGTTCCTCTTAATTCAGTATTAAATGTTGTTTCCATGTATTGCCTTGAAGTTGTTTGATTGTATGTACCTTTTGTGAATACTATTATTATAATGTTCAAATAGGCAGTTACAATTTGACGAAAATTTTGTTTCTGAGTTTTAGACATTCTGTTTGAATCTTTAAAAAACAAGAATTTGAATTTAATTACAGTGTTATTAAAAAAAAAAAAAAAAGAAAAAATTTAAGGAATAATCGTAAAATTTAAATACGAACCTAATACTAATATAATTGAAACAATTTCAAGGTACTGATCAATACTTTGAATAAGTTCATCAATCTGTGATATAATATCAATACTTGATTGATCCTGATCTTCTGATAGAATTAAACCCGGTGTATCAATCAAAATATAATTTATTCCATTTATTGTAACTGGATAAGGTTGAACTTCATCTGATTTCTAAAATTAAAAAGTAAAATTTATAATAATTGTTATTAAATGAAATTGGATGAATCATATTAAAAAGATGTTAAAAAGATATTAAAAAGAAATTAAAAAAATTAAAGATTTTAAAAAGATATTAAAAAAGAAATTGAAAAAATATTAAAAAAGAAATTGAAAAAATATTAAAAAAGAAATTGAAAAAATATTAAAAAAGAAATTGAAAAAAATACCGTAAATGGACCACCATCACGATATTTGCCAGCAATCATATTAGCTACAGTACTTTTTCCCACACCTGTCGGAAAGAATAAATAATAATTAATTGTGAAAATTATAACTTTTTAAATCATAACTTTTTTTTTAAAAAAAAAAAAATAACTTGATTAGAAAACACACCAACTTCACCAATTATAAGAATTGCAGGAAATCTTTGCTGTTTCTCGGATTGTTCATTTTCATTAGATTCGTCAGAGGTGGTCGAAGACATTTATGATTTTTCGTTAAAAAATATAAAAGTACATACGAAATTGTAATGTTATAATCATATTAATATGATTATATTAGGATAATGATATTAAGAGAATAATAATAAGAGAATATTTGGGAGATAAAGGAAACAAAAAAAAATTTCCCCACAAGTTTTTAAATTTAATTTTTTTCGAGAATAAAATCTTTTTTAAGAAGAAAAAACAACAAATGATGTAATTATTATTTTTGTTTTGTGGTAAAAATTAAAAATAAACGGATCCGGAATATATCATGTGTTTAATGATTCCAAAATCGTTTACATTAAGGTTTCAACACGGACATTCACTAAACATTTATTTATGAATGGAAATCCTTTTTTGATTTTATAAGCAACAGGTTAAAGACTCGATGTTAAGGTTTAAAAGTGGTTTCACGGGGTTTTTTTTTAACGTACTCAGTGGATTTGAGTAATGTTGTACAATTTTTATAGTAAAAAACTATTGGATGATATATATAAATCTATTATAAATATAATTTAAGAAGTTCTTTGAAGAAATGAATAACTGAAATTATGAGAAGAGTTTCAAAGATATATATAAATAATCGAACGCTAAACAAAAAAAAAAAAAAAAAAAAGAGAATATTTTTCGTAACGAAACGATAAACCGTTAATTTATTTGCGCAAATAAATGCAATATTAAGATCAACAACATACATACGAACTAACTAAAAATTCGTATAGTCGAATATTTAATCCGACGACAATAACGATAACCGATTGTAAAATTCAAGCATCATACGTATTGTTTAAAAAAGTTCAAAATGAGTGGCTTAAGCTCTTAATTGTCGAAATAGATCGAAAAGCTTCAAGTAGATCTTTAATCAAGGATATTATACGTATTCTCGCAGGTATATTTGTATTTTATCAATACGCTTCATGTATTAGGGATGGAATATAGTGCATTCAATGGTGTTAATCTCATGTAACTCCCACATAGATATCCAGATCCTCAACATCTATAACCGCATGAAATAAAGTTTAACTGCTGAGAAAAGACACTGCATTATCTTGCCGCTTAGGTTTATTGCATATGCTGTTGATCTATTACTGTATCGAATTCGTTGATACAATATAACTGAATTTATAAATGCAGAGTTATCAAAGCAAAAAGAAAAGATGAAAGCGTATAAATTTGAGAATTTCTTAGCCATAATCCAAACATAAATTACAAGTCCAACATTCATTTTGAATCAGTGACCTGTTTAAATCATAGAAGACGATCATACGACTTATCTGGAAGATTTATAGTCGTCAAACAGACTAAGCTTGAATTGTGGTCAAAATTGATTCAAAAATGAGACAACTGTCGTGTAACAATATAGAATTAGAAAAGCTATTGGTTTTTTTGTCACACATCTTTTTTAGGTAAATGTGTGTGTGCTTAAGTTACCAGATTTATTTCAGTCTAGCTTTAAGTGTTATTAGTGTTATTAAGTACGTACTTACTCGTTATGGTAGACTATTGATACAGTATACAGTATAGCTAATATGTGGGTATAGCAAAAATTCTATTCGATATACCGGTAGTGAAAATTAGAAATTCGATATAGTGAAGACTCGATAGTGAATCATTAAACTTTAACCGATATAATGAAATACATACAGTATAGTATTCTCAACCTGGTTGTTTCACTATAGCGAGAGTTGTATATAATATTACATTTAATATAAATTCTGGATCAATGATCGTTACTTAGTGCTAGGCCTAATTTTATATTGTTTTCACAAGTATAGAGTTAGTCCAGAATATCTTAAACACATATCTTAACCATTTTACTTATTCTATATTAATTAGTTAAATTTATTATATAGAATATTTAAGGAGAGTATTTCAAGTATACAATTATCAGTTGTGCAAAAAATGAGCAGTTGTTAAATTAAACTTTCATTTTTTTTTATATGCCATTAATACATGATCGGACTTTATTGCACATACGTATTAAAAAATTATGCGAATAAATCAATAATAACTATATATTACGTAATTGGTCGAAATTGCTTATCTATTATAATATGCGATAAAATAATATTTTTACAACTCATTTTGATCAATCGATAGTATAATACCTATATTTTAATTTTACCAGAAGATTTTAACTCGCCAACGCTATGAAAAGCGAATGCGTATGATATAATTGTTTATTGTACTATATACAGACTATTAATTTAGGCTAAAAAATCAGCATAAAGTAAAAAAGTTATCAAGTAACTTAAACTAGTATTTAATGAGACTTTAAATACATAGGCATAAAGTTAGGTATGATCTCGAAATTTATAATTGTTACACGACAGCGGGAATAAGAGGTAAGTTCTCGGTTATATGAGAGCCCGAAGGTACTCATCTAAAGATCTACCAGATTATTTCCCGTGATGCTGTAGTGACTGCTATGTAGACGTCGATTTAACGACCTACCGATGTTTATACTGTAATAGAATCAATAATCGGTGAAAAAAAAAAAATTTCCAGCAACGTTTGTTATTCCCTGGTTTACCTGAAAATACTGGAAATCTGGAAACTTGGTTTTTTTTTTTCAACAACTAAAATAGTGATTTTAAGCCATAAAATCCCGTCTGCGATCATATAAGATCATGTAGAAATGTGAAATAATATCGATATGTAGTGCTATTATAATTGGATGTTACACATAATGATGAATCGTTAGATAATCTCTGATTCAAAATTTCGCGCTTAGACTTGCATTAATACAAATAGAGAAACAGGGAAACTGTACGAAAAATATGTTATGATGCAAACTGCATGGCTAAATAAACTACGGATCTTATACGTATATTTCAAGTTCACATTGTAATGATTCCATATATGTACAATAAAATTTTCATATAGGGCTAATAAAGTAACGTTAATCCCAAAATCGTAACTGATATCTGTTTACTCATTCGACCGTATATTTATGAGATTAATATGCAGTATTATTTATACATTAAATTATTAAAATTGATGATTAAAAATGCTTGTTTGTTGTTTATTATGAAGAGAAAAATAGTAAAGACAGTTTATTGCATTTTATATTGTTTTTGTTTTTCTTTTTTTGATTTTGCAATAATTATTTATGCAATGATTTTTTGTTTGTTAAACATAACGATAATGCATGCAATTTAAATACTGTATCATAACAAATTTAAATTGAATATACAAACGCTAATCCTGCATAGGCCATTCAATCTATTTAAGTATATAAGAATTTTAAATTACTTTCTTTCATTCAAACTAATTATAGAAAAAATCAAAATTCGAAATTTATGCTTAAAATGTATATCCTTTATTTATTGTTAGTAAATAAAAATATCCAGTAACTATCTAAATGCCCAAGATTATGAATTCTATTAAACGAATGTATGAAACAAGTGTGATGTAAATTATAAAGTAATATAAATAAAAATTAAATTGTCCCTTCAGTGTTTGAACGATCACGGAGACATTCCTCTATCCGTTTGGTGAAATGAGGGGCATAGTACATGGAGCACAAAAGGGCCCATATAACAGTCCAAAATAAAAGAAGTGAGGCCGAACTCACTTGATCTAGAAAAGTATAAAAGAAAAAGAAATGGTCAACTAATAAATAAATTATTGATATTATAATTACAGAGGATACGCCACAAACATAGCACTTTGCCAAATAGCTAATAATAATTATGCAGAAGCTTAAAGTAATTAAAACGATGGTTAAAACGAAAAATACTATATTAACTGTGAATTCAAGTGGTGTTTTTAGACCATCCTTTATACTCATTAAAGCATTAACCATCCAGCCTGCTTCTACACCAAATAGATACGCGGATAGAATGATTACTGCAATTATTATGAATGCAATAACTTTTTTCTCCTTATCACAAACAATTATCAACGTAAGACATGTCACTAACAACGCTAAACACATGAAACTCAGCAATAAAGTTGTTCTTAATGTGAGCCCCTCTTTTATATAAAAAAATAAAAAGGGAAATACTGTCGTAAAATACATAAAAAATATGACCCCAAATATTCCTATGACATATTCCTTGTATTCACATTCGGCAAAGTGGAATGTCATCAAGGTAATAGCGAGAAGTATCGTGATAGTAATGTATGGAACATATTCCATTATACTAAAATTAAACAATTCCGATGCAGTTGGACTGGCTGTAACTTCTGAAATGATTATACTCCAGAGAATAAGGGTTGTAGCTAAGATTTTATCGGTCATTTTCGGTTGGTATTATCTTCGTTTAAAGTTAATCAACGTTAATTGTGAAATATATCTCTTTTCTCAGGAAGTGTATGAAAATTTAAGGAAAGATGTCTAAAAAAAAAGAAAAGAAATGATGCATGTAAAACAAAAAAAAAATAATATACTCTATATATGTTTGTTTAATACAAAGAGTTTGTCGTCGTAATAATGCAAAAAAAAAAAAATTGTTACGTTTCTTGTTTCATTCGTATTGCCATATATGTTTAAGATTTTATTTGCACACCACTATTCGGATGCTTCAAAGTCCGATTGTCTTATTATTTGTACCATATTTTTTATCCTTTTTTGATTTTCTGTGCCAACGTTAAATTTTCCATGTATGATGTTTCAGTTCATCATTACCATAACACTTTAGAACAATTTAATTTAATTACTATTATTTTTGGAATTATTCCTTTATCTGTAAATACTCTAATCTATATTATAAATTGGATTTTTTTTTTTTTTAGAATATCCTAACTTAATTTTATCACTATGTACAGTACAAACGCAAAATAATACCGTTATATATTTTCGAATTACACCAAAAATTAAATACTGTAATCGATAAATAGTGTTGTATATATTTATATTTTTATTTTGTACAGTATTCTTCAAAAGTTTACGTATCACTTTTACAGTACACACCACTGTTAGTTAACGATATTGATATAGCAGAAATGATGCTAATCGTTAATTATGGTTGTGTAACGGCGATTGACTTAAATTCGTATAGCAGTTACAGTATCGTTATATTGTTCAATCCACACCAAAAAATTCTAATATACATTACTAACATTATATTAAAAATAATTAGCTATAGGCTAAAACAGAGTATATTTTTGTTTGGTTTTTTTTATCAACGCAATTATTTTTAAACTTTAGAGTACAAAAAAAAATAGGTATATAATAGGTGTTTTAGATCCGATTACGTAAATTTAAATGTATATATTGGCATTTGGAACAAATTGAAAATATAATATAATATAATTCTACAAAACAATGTCTCATTGGGGTGCTCGATATACTATGTAAATCAAAACTATATGTGGTCACTTAATATTTTAAATAGTCAGTGATTTTTT